ATATATAATGGGGAAAGACATGCGGTGGTGATGATGGGATTCGAACACACGTCCTCCGAGGTGATAATTGGATCACGTTAACCACCGGGCCAGCACCACGTTGGTTCATGCTCACACCAACTACATACTTCTCTTTTCCAATATTGATCAATGCATGCATACGCGTGCACTACCGAATAAATCAAGTTTGTCTTGAAATCACACACTTTCCTAATTATCATATACTCAAATTGTCCGCCAGTTTCTTGGGTTCAATTAGTCCCACGTTATTTAGTATATAGTTGCAGCGAATCGAGCCCTTAGTCAATTTATTGCCTTACACCCTAACGAACAAAAATCGCCTGGGCTCCAACTCACACAAAGATCATAACCTCCACGTTCAACCCACAGGTCTACTCAGCTCTACTCCAGTTTTGCTCAAGTCTTTGGTGGTCCGTTGTTCACAGTACGTAATTACCACCTAATAGTGAGCAATATCACTATCATCTCCACGGTGGTCCTTCGTCAGTTGGATCAAGTCTGCTTGGCACTCACGTGGTTCATCTTCGTCGGGACGTGGAGATACAATGGCAACAACACTACCACCACTACCACCATCACCACCAACAACAAGACAATATCGACTCACAAACGGACCGAAACATTGCTTCACACAAACAGCCACAAACATATTGCGCCGACCAGGTCGGGTCGTGTGGACCTGGTTTGTCCCGGTCTGCCTTGCGTGTGGGGACATGTCAAGCGTGAACTAAGCAGATCACTTGGAGGCTTGGGCGTAGCCCACCAGGTTAGGTGGGAACCACGGTCTGTAGCTTTGTCGTGCTCAATGACCCTGCTTCGCCGATATGACCAAATGTGAATGAATGAACACACACAGCTGTCCTCCAACGGGTATGGAGACGAGGAGTACTGGACCGGGGGTGAATGTGTCTGACGCTAGTAGGCCGGAAGTGGTAACCGCATTCAGAGTGTTGTCCAAGCCTTTGTCGATGAGTCATGAAATTGGCATATCAGAGATGTTCGGTAAAGGGTAGGGACCGTGAAATAGATACAAGGGAACAGAGATTTGAGAAAAGATCAAAGCAAGAATATCCGATCGGTTATTAAGGGTTGATTGTATATTGGGTGTTCAACACCACATAACAACAGCACATAAAACACAAACCTGATGACAATACATGTCAAATCGGCCAGTTTTCAAATGACTATAAATCGAATCAAAATCAGAGGTATTCACAGAAGGAGACATGCCTTTTATAAGGAGATGCAAGAGATAAATAGCTTGCGGTATTCCCTTGAATGAGGTGTGTAGAAAGGTAAAGAACTGAATTGTGTGTCCTCGAAGGCCAGGGATATCGAAAATCGATAGGATAAAGAACACATGCATACACACATGTTTTATACATCTATTTATATTAGAGTAAATGTTTTAATCCACTCGGAGGTATGAAGTGCCCTGAATTGATTGCTCAGACCCTTGAATCCAGTGTTTGAATCCCGCCATGGCTTCATTCGTTCAGGTCTCTTGTGCTATCTTAGGCTGGTTTCGGTGCACAACTTGAAAAATAAGTATACGTTGGTTCTCTGTAGAATAAAGCCGAACTAAAAGCGGTTGTCGATTGTAAAATCGCCTTGATAAGGTTATCCACGGTAACTAAAACATCGGTTTATTTTCACCTGTACCGACATCGCTGTGTTTTCAAAATTATAACTTATATAAAAGCGGTTGCCATTAGTATTACTACCAAGGTATTCCCCTCCCCCCTGTTGCCCAGTCCAATTTTTGATCACAGTTCACCTACACCTGGGTGGCCGTTCAAATCGGATAGAGAAATGTGTGCTGGTGGTCTATCGTGGTTTGCTCACTGTCACCGGCGTGCTTTGGGCCCTGTGGTTCGAGGTTCGAATCCCTTTTATCATCACCACCACCACGAACCAACTTTGGTGGTAGCCAGCTTTGTTGTCATCCCGTCCTATACTACGCCCAACCGAGGGGGCCTTGTGTGGTTTGCCGTTTCAAGCTCCGGGGTTTAGGCTGTCGGTTTCCACCGCAATGATTCTATCTTCATTTCCGGTTCCAAGCGCACCTACTGTTAGTAGTGTACTTACTTTTGTACATTTCTATAGGGCATTCGCTCAAAAGCGGTCCCGGAGCTAATGCTGTGTATGGATCATTTTTTATGCGTTCAGAAATCTACCCCCTCCTCCGGGAGAGACACGATTGTTGCTATTTCTATTCTCGATGTTAAACGTTAAATTTATCTACGGTCAAGTTCCCTAAAAAGTTAGCCCAAGTGAAAGGGGTTTCAAATTCCACAGCCGATGAGGGTAGATGTGTAAACTGATCTTCCACGGCACTTTATATGACGGGCAATTGAGTCGGAATGTCATATTCGATTCGGTTAACCCGGATGGCTGTAATAACTCTGAGGTTTATTGACCGAACGCATTCCCAATCAAAATGAGCACCGGCAGAATGATTTCGAACCTGTGATTGGTTAGTGGTTGTATTTACCTTGGGAACGAACAAATATAAAAGTGTGTTGGGGAACTAATCGGGTCAGATGTTCAGAAACGCACATATGTCTTTTAAAAAAATGGTTTGACGGATATTTCTGAGCAATTAAACGGACTCCTGGGATGAATCTAACGAGAAGAACAAATCCGTGCATTGAAAAGTCGCGAAGTCAACAATGAATACGGAAACAACGAGGGAAAATAATCAGTTTGAAACTACGTATCGGGCTAGCCTCCACGAGCTTAAGTATGATCGGAGGTGCGTGCCTCAGGGGACGACTGGTCACCCTTCCCTCACACCTCGTAAAATGCTCTCATACCACCAAGCATCTCAAACATCCTCTGCTGAGGAAGCCCTACTTATTGCCTTCTCGTG